GCCTTGTCCTCACTCTTCCCATTGCTGCTTATCTTCTTTCTTCTACCCCAGGCTCCTCAGGGAATTTGACTCCTTCCACCACAGCTTTTTCTATTGTAAGTTTTATCTGACCAGAATGATGCCTTGCAGGCCTGAAGACATAGTTTTAGTCCTTTTCTCTTTGGTGTAGTAAATCCTGCGTCATTTCCAAAGTTTAAGATGATATATATATTTATATACATTTATATTTATATACATATATATATATATGTACATATACATATATATATTTATATACATATATATTTATATACATTTACACATATATGCAACATGTATAAACATACTCACACAAACACAACTTCCTATGATCTTTCATTCTATCCAGTGTTCAAGGATGCTATTACTATCTCTATTTTATAGGTGAACAGAAAAAATCCTATCAAAACTGTAAAATTAGATCAAGCTCTGTAACATAAAAACAGTTGGAAAAGAACCCATGCTTACTACATTGTAATCCATGCTTACTGCATTGTAATCCATGCTTACTGCATTGTAATCCGTGCTTACTGCATTGTAATCCCTGCTTACTGCATTGTAATCCGTGCTTACTACATTGTAATCCGTGCTTACTGCATTGTAATCCGTGCTTACTGCATTGTAAGCCGTGCTTACTGCATTGTAATCCGTGCTTACTGCATTGTAAGCCGTGCTTACTGCATTGTAATCCGTGCTTACTGCATTGTAAGCCGTGCTTACTGCATTGTAAGCCGTGCTTACTGCATTGTAAGCCGTGCTTACTGCATTGTAAGCCGTGCTTACTGCATTGTAAGCCATGCTGTTTCCATGTTAACATATCATCTCATGTCTCTCTCCTTCCTGCCTGCCTGCCTGCCTGCCTGCCTGCCTGCCTGCCTGCCTCCCTCCTTCCTTTCCTTCCTCCTTCCCATTTTGGTTTTTAAGACAATGTGTTGCTATATAGTCCAAGCTAGCCTAAAAGAACCTTTTTTGCCTCGGCCTCCAAATACTAGAATTGTAGGCATGGACCACTACACACAGCTTCTTTCTACCTACCTATCACAAGCTCTGCATGGCTTAGTTTCTACAAAACCAAATTCACTGTGTTAATCTTGTTCCTAAAGGTCATACAAGCCAGAAAAAAGATGATTTTATCTGTGTTCCTTCTTGGAAACACGTTTTCCGTAGCAGCTGATTTATAGCGGGATGAGCACTGGAGGCAGCTCCCAGCAGCTCTCATCAGATATGGGAGTCCTGGCTCATGCTTGCCGGCTTTCAGCAGGACACCGTCTCCGCAATGCAGGGACAGCTGAATGCTGAAAACTCCGCAAGAGAGCCTGGAGCTAGAGCAACTCCAGCTTCCAGACTCGAGCAAATAGGTTGTCAGACTTTATCACCCTTGGACAGCACGCACCCCTTCATCAGAGGTTAACACAGCTGGCAGCTCTTATCCAGAACCGATGGGAAGGGGCTGGCCACCATGCTCACTGGCAGATGTCTCCCCTGTCTGCATTTCTGCTTAGGGTTCAGCTGAGAGAGCCTGTGCTGAATGATGAGCTGCCCGGCCGCATCATCACCGGGAAAGTGTTGATCAAGCCTAGCATTAAGGAAGTGAAGGAGAACTCGGTCATATTCAACAACACCCCAAAGGAAGAGCCCATTGATATCATCATCTTTGCCACGGGCTACACCTTCGATTTCCCCTTCCTTGAGGAATCGGTAGTGAAAGTTGAAGATGGCCAGGCATCACTGTACAAGTATATCTTTCCAGTGCATCTGCCGAAGCCAACGCTGGCTGTGATTAACCTCATCAAACCTCTGGGCTCCATGCTGCCCACAGGAGAAACGCAGGCTCGATGGGTGGTCCAAGTATTCAAAGGTAAACGATAAGAAATCACAAGGCACGTGCTTTCAGTTTCCCATGTGATAACTTGAGACTACTCCCTAGCTCCTCTTCCAAACAACAAAATCATTCAAAAGCAGGAAACACTCGATTTTCTACTGCATGATCTTATCCTAACAACTTGTAACATCACCAGCACCAATTGGATCAAAATATAAAAGCTGGCTGGGCGTAGTGGTAAAGGCCCATAGGCCCAGCAACACGGGACATAGAAACGGGAGAATCAGCCCTGGCAAAGTTAGCACAAGAAAAAAAGAAACTAAACTAAACTAAACTAAAATCAAAGATATTGGGACATAGCACAAGTGGTAGAGTGTTTAACTAGGAAGCATGAAGCCCTGAGTTCATTCTCTAATGCTGCTCTACTGCTGTGTGTGTGTGTGTGTGTGTGTGTGTGTGCATGTGTATACATGTGTCCACATATATACCCACAAATATACATGTTTCTACATAGTATGTATATACATATTATAGATAGATAGATAGATAGATGTAATGCCATCCTGTTATTTTGAGCAGACAACTGGTTCGATTAGAATTTAAAGACCCAATCAAGTGATAAAGTTCAGTCAAACTAGCCGTGAGGTCGGGTTGTATCAGCTAGGTAGTGAGAAAGCTAGATGGTTAGCTTACCTTTTCAGCAGGCCCCATTACTGCCAAGAGCACATCATCAGCCAGCTCAAGTCTGCATGCATTGTGGGATACTAGAAATAGAAGACGAATTCTAGGAAAGCATCTTCATCCGTAAGCACTGAAATCCAAAGGGAAATTGCGTTTGTTTACTTAATAGGTACCACTCTACTACCACCAGCGAGCGTCATGATGAAGGAAGTCAATGAGAGAAAAGAGAACAAACCCAGTGGGTGAGTGAACTGTGGCATCCCTTCTGAATCGTAACTAAACGTGGTGAGAGGGCCATAGCAGAGAGGTGGGACGTGTGTTGGAGAAAAGAAGGGCAGCTGAGAGTCGGGGAAAAGGAGGAGGACTGGTTTAATAAGAAGGACGCAAAGGGAAATTGAGAACTTGTAACGCCCCCAGAATCAACTGGAGCCCATAGCCACGAAGCATCATTTGGAGATCAGTTAACAGCGTGTATAATCAACCCTCACTGACATGCACATTACTGGAAGTACTAGCGCATTTGCCCACTCAACAAGTCTTGGTCAACTCTAGTGTTTCGTTGGAGGTGTTGCTGTAACACAGAGGTCAGTCAGCCACGCCTCTGGGCCAGATCTACTCGAGTGGTTTTGATTTTGATTTTGCAACACTTGAAAATTAGATGAAGTTCAAACCAAAGTGTCCACAGACACTTGGTTGTAATGTACATTCCTTATGCAGTTCCCCGCGGCTGCTCTTGTTACCACAGTAGACTGAGTAGTAACTGAAGACCTGAGAGAAGCTCAAAGCAGGGGGATTCTGGAGCTGGCCTTTTGCAGAAGGTTTGTGTGTCAGCTCTCGGGACCCTGTGACAGCCATTCGAGGGCCAGGGGTAGAGGAGAAAGACGTTCTATCCTTGTCAGATTGTCAAATTCCAAAACAGAATATTTCAATTATCTCCTCTTTATCCTCACACTGGAATACAGGGTTTTGTTTTGCCTTATTATGCAACTCCTGTATAACAAATAATTAAAATAACTACAAGTGCCCCATTCACATAATCCTAGCTAGTCAAGGAGGCGGAAGATCAAGATTTAAAGCAGCTCAGGTAGGAAAGTCTGTGAGACTCTTACCTACAAAAAAAAGTACTCAAAAAAGCCAGAAGTAAAGCTGTGGCTCAAGAGGTAGAGAGCTAGCAAAAGAAGCTCAGGGATGGTGCCCAGGCTCTGAGTTCAAGCTCAGGACTGGCATACACACACACACACACACACACACACACACATCCAACAACAATTTCAAAAACCCTGTTACACAGTGTAGAATGTTCTCGCCACAAGACAAAGCTGATGCTTCAAAGGACTCATTTCAGCAGGACAGAGCATTTTACCTTACACATTTTTGTGGCTCTTCATATTCACAAATAAAGTAACCATTTAGTTTAGGAAAGTAGCATGAGACCATTAGAAAGCTGTGGATGTAAAGAAGAAAACACAGAAGTCATTCCAAAATTTGCAGGACTATTTGTTTGCTTCAGACAAATGGTGAAAGATTTTCTTTGTTCTGTGATTTTCACTGTTCCTTTCTCCTGGTCTGCTGCTGCTGCTCCCGCCCGCCCCGTCCTCCTCCGATCAAGGTTTGGCTTGTGCTACTGCAAAGCTCTACAGTCGGATTACATCCCATACATCGATGATCTCCTGACCGCCATCAACGCGAAGCCCAGCTTGTGGTCTATGTTCCTGACCGACCCGCGGCTGGCCTGCGCGGTCTTCTTTGGCCCCTGCACACCATACCAGTTCCGCCTGGCGGGCACAGGAAAGTGGGAAGGAGCCAGAAAAGCCATCCTGACGCAGTGGGACCGAGCCCTGCAAGTCACCAAAACTCGCACTGTGCAAAACCCCCCCTCTGCCTTTGACAGCTCGCTTAAACTCTTTGGCTTGCTGGCTTTGCTGGTAGCTGTGTTCTTGGTTTTCCTCTGAGTGAGAGATCATCCAGATGGTTTATCGACACAGGCTGTGCAGTGCACTGCTCTGACGCTTTTCACTGCAGAAGTCTTGCCTTCACATTATAAACCATGCCCCAAGAGCAAGGCTAGCCCTCTCTCCCTCTGCTATTCCCAGACCCCCCTCCTCCCCATCTCATTATATCTAAGGCTCGAGGGTGCACCTGAAGGCTCTGGAAGGTTCCAAGTCCATTTTAGGGACAGAGCTTTACTAGACAGAATTCTGAACAGGTGTCTCTTTATCCATAAAAACTACTTTTTATAAGTGAAGGAAGAGGTGATACCCAAGAAGCATAGTACTCATAACCTGACTTACGAGATTGTAGCTCCTGTAATTGTACAACTCCTTAAAAATAAAGAAGGGTTTTCTGGGGGAAAAAATACTACTTTCATCCATCTAAACTAAAACACCATACCTCATTTGAAAAAAAAAATTGGTTTGCACTAAGATGATGCTCATGTGCTATTAACTAACGAAAATTAAAAAAGAAGAGAGGAACCTGAAATTATTTCAAGTAGTCTTTTGGTTTGTTTCTCGTTGTTGTTTCATTTTATTTGGGGCTCTTTTTGTTGTTGTTGATGTTGTTTTCACGGGTTGGAGGAATAAAGAAGAGGAGGAATGTGTCAATAAAGCCAATAAAAGAGGCAGCACAGGGTTGGGCAGGTGATTCAGTGGTATAGTGTTCGCCTTGCATGCATGAAACCCTGGGTTCGATTCCTCAGCACCACATAAGCGGAAAAAGCACTGTGGCTCAAGTGGTAGACCACTCGCCGTGAGCTGAAGAGCTGAGGGACAGCGCCCAGGCCCAGAGTTCAGACCCATGACCAACCAAAACAAAACAACAACAACAAAAAAAGAGGCAGTACAATGAGCTAATCTGAGATTTTTTTCCAACGAATATACTTACTTGGAAATGCTTATTTCTCCGCAGTCTGCTCTCAATCAAAACCAGTACTCCAGCTAGTATACTAAACATTCAAGTCAGACCTATTCCACAGAGAACCACTATGTTGAATGGGAAAACCAGCTCCAAGGTAGCGCATTGTTCAGCATGCACAAAGCAGGCCCTGGGTTTGAGCCTAGCCCTTCAAGGATGGAAGGAAGGAGGGAGGGAGGAAAGGAGAAAGAGAGTAAAGGAGGCAGGGAAAAACAATCAACTCTACATGCTTTTAGAAGCAGCCTCTAGCAATCTAAGAAAAAAGATCTGCTCAGATCTGAGTCAACCTCTAGGTCTGAGTCAACCGAATTCAACTGGAATTCGTGAGAGACATAACAAAGCCAAGAAGACTTGAATTAAGAGAGAGAAGAAAAAGGAAGAGGAAAGAAAACCAAAGCAAACACCACGTAAGAGCAGTTTTTGAGCAAATTCAACCCAGGCTATCTCACGATTACCTGTGATGAAAGTGTGGCACCAGCCAGGAAGCTCCGCCACACTTCACCTGCCTCATGGCTCAGACGGCAAATCTCACCTCACAACGAGGCTCACGGACTGGCTGAAGAAGAGGATCAGGGAACTACAGAGACCGGCAAGCTTGAGCTCTGGAGGTACATACAGGTACATGCGACCGCTTCTCCTCGGCATTCCCAGTACGATGTCATCTCCTAATATTCCTCCTGAACTGCTCCACTGCGGCGTAGAGATGCCAAGGAAAATGCGTCCCCGCAGAATTCACTCTCATTACTGGATGGGCTTGTCTCTGGAAGATGAAGAAAGAAGGGGCATCAGTGTCCAGGGCTAGACGAAGTCACATGCAGGTCACAGCGGCCGAGCTGATGTGAACATTGTCTACTTCTTAGGGCGACTCAGTATGCAGTCAGACAGCTGTCAGATATCTGGAGCAATACAACTAACTCTGACCTACAACCTCTCAGCCATCAGATGGTCAAGGCAGTCAGGACTTGGTCAAAGAGGCCACTTCTAGTCGCGCTCCTGCTTCCAACTCAGGACCAACCAAAGAAAAGCAAATGAGCTCTCCACAAGAAGCCCCAGACAATGCCTTGCTTCTAGTCCACCTCCTTCTGCCAGGGGAAGGATACCTGAACTTGCCATGTTTTTACTATTAAAAAAAGGAACCCCAGCTAGGAGAGAGGAGGAGATGAGAAGCCAGACAAAATGTTAGCCAAACTTCCCTCTTAACAAACAAGCTAGGTATAGTGATCCATACCTGTAATTTTAGCTGTGGAGGAGGTATAGGTAGGAAGAGCACAGTCCAAAGGCTGGCCTGGACAAAATAGCAAAGGCCTACCCAGAAAATATACTAAAAGCAAAAAGGTAGTGTGGCTCAAGTGGTAGAGTACCTATATAGCAAGCACAAAGCCCTGAGTTCAAGGCCCAGCACTGCCAACTGTAAATAAAGTCTCTTGCTTTCCTTTAAATCTATGATAAACATCCATGACCATGCTTGACTATCTTGCTCTAGCAAGCCCTGCCTTTCTTTCAACAGCACAAAACACACACTCTATTAACTTGTAACTCACTTGTAAACGATGGTGATCATTATAGTGCTGCATAGTCTATACTGTTTCTAAGTCAATAAGGTGTCCAATACTATCCCCTTTGATTCTCATAATAATAATTCTGCAGTTTGGATGCAGTGTTCCTTTGTAATTTAACAAGTAAGAAGACTCAAACAAGAAAATGTCAGTTGATTTGTCGCTGGTAACTGTCAGGACAGGAATCTCTAAAACACAATCCAGGAAAACTCGTGGTTTCCAATGGACAAATGACCTGAAAAGTCACTTAGTAAAGTGAATTACACAGACACATAAGGTCATAGTAAAGTCATATTATAAGGATGCTCTTCTCTAAGTGGATCATGGCTCTGTCCCTTCTTTGTGCCCTCTGAGTGTATATGGAAGCACCTGTCTGTCTGCTACCTCTATCAATGTATATCTGCCCCCAGTATCTACGACTGCGCTTTTCCCTCCATATATGCCTATATTTTTTCAGAGTCTCATAGGCACCTTTTTTCCTGTATATTCCTCTTTTGTTTCTGACTATAACTATAGTAGGTCTATGGCCATAATGGGAAACAGAGCTGATAAAAAGCCTCCTAATTCCTACTCTAGAAATCATCCATTTATTACTTTGGGAAACAATATTATTTTTCCTATTCAGGAAATTAATATAGGGCAGGAGGTGTAGCTCAGAGACAGCGTGCTTCTATAGTGCACATGAGGTCCTGAGATCAACACCTAGTAGCACACAGAGAGAGAGAGAGAGAGAGAGAGAGAGAGAGAGAGAGAAGAAAAAAAGCACTTCCAAGAAATCTAACAAAAGAGGAAATGCATAGATCATTCTGGCTTTGCTGACTCTGTTTCTTGCATACCTTCTAAATCGGAACTTCTGAGGCACTTCATGTGCGTAGGTAAGTTTGTAATTTCTGAGATTCTTCCTACTATATACAAACAGCACCCCCTGCTGGCAGTCCTAAATAGAGATCTCTGTTGCGTGGCCCACTGTGGAGGCCTGCTTGGAGAACCAGGCCCCATGGTTAGCATCCCAGGCTCTGCTACCAGTTGTGGGACTTTGACCAAACACTAGCAAAATGCAAGGCCTCAAGTTCAAGTGTCAGTACTATGAAGGAAAGAAAGAGAAAGAAAGAAAGAAAGAGCGAAAGAAAGAGCGAAAGAAAGAAAGAGCGAAAGAAAGAGCGAAAGAAAGAGCGAAAGAAAGAGCGAAAGAAAGAAAGAAAGAAAGAAAGAAAGAAAGAAAGAAAGAAAGAAAGAAAGAAAGAAAGAAAGAAAGAAAGAAAGAAAGAAAGAAAGAAAGAAAGAAGGGAGGGAGGGAGGGAGGGAGGGAGGGAGGGAGGGAGGGAGGGAGGGAGGGAGGGAGGGAGGGAAGAAAGAAAGAGGGGGGAGGGAGGGAGGAAGGAAGGGACATATAGGAAGAAATGAAGAAAGGAGGGAGGAAGAGAAGGATGAAGGGAGGCCCAAAGACACTCGGCCTGCCAAAGGTATAGGATCAATGCATAAATCAGATGCATTCCTGCATACTAGTAACAGACTGCCCATAAAAGAAAAACTATCATGCTTTTGTCTATTGGGGAATGCTAAAACAAAATATCTTGGACTGGGAAACTTTTAAACAACGGACATGTATTGCCCAAACCTAGAGGCTGGGAATTCCAAGATCAAAAGGCCAGCAGATTCCAAGTGTGTTGAGGGCCAGTTTTTCATTGCTAATGCCTTTCCTTCACCCTCAGGCAGAAGCGGCGAAGCCCCTCGGCCATTAATCATTGACGAGGACTCTACCCTCATGTTCTAGCCACCCATCCAGGGCTCGCTCCACATAAACCAACTAACATCAATGAAATACAGAAACGATAAAACACAGAGGGGACAGAACACTTCTCATTGCTCTTGGTAGTGTTTTTCTTTTCTTCTTTGGCTATAACAAGAAAAAAAAAGTACAGGCAGAAAATGAAGAGATAGACAAATGAGAATTATCAGACTGAAAAGTGTAGATATGGCCAGGAAGACAATAGTGTGAGCCACAACTCCACCTCTGGGTTTTTGGTGGTTAATTGGAGATAAGAGTCCATGGGCTGGCTTTGAACTACAAACTTCAAATCTCAGCCTCCTGGGGCTGGGAAGGTGGCTCAGTGGTAGAGCGCTTGCCTTGCATGCCTGAGGCCTGGGTTTGATTCCTCAGTACCACATAAGCAAAAAGAAAAAAAAAAAGCCGGAAGTGGCGCTGTGGCTCAAGTGGTAGAGCGCTAGCCTTGAGCTGAAGAGCTGAGGGACAGCGCCCAGGCCCAGAGTTCAGGCCCCACAACCGGACCCAAAAAAAAAAATCTTAGCCTCCTGAGTAGCTAGGATTACAGGCATGAGTCACCGACACCAGACAACCTTTGATACTTTTGCAAAGGAAAATAATAGTACCTTACTAAAAAAAAAAAAAAAGATTGCATATTAATCTGTGGGTTCACCACCACTTCTTTGGCATGGTGAAACAATCCCCTAAATCAAGCATTCAGGAAACTGAGGCTGGAGCGTGTCTGGTGCTCCACGCTATTACACAGTCAGAGCTTGACTCAAAATAAATAAATTTTTTTTAAAGAGAGAAAATAAAAGACCTTAAAGCCTTATGATCTTGGGGCTTACACTCAATAGTCAAGGAGTGGACTTTCTAGTCAAACCTCTGACCCACATTCTTCACTTACATTACCTGCCCGGTAGGCAGGTGTCCGAGGCCTTCTGACTTCTGCTACGGAAACTGTTCAGTAAACCATGCTGGGAAAGGACGCTAAACACAAAGCCGAAGATGTTCTAGTGTGGCTTCCATGTTCTGAGTAGAGAAAATAAAAATGAACACTATGTAACGTATGCTTACCGCTACCACTGCCCTAATGGCTCTTCTGCTCTTCTTGTGTGAGGATATCTCACACCTGTAATCCTAGCTACACAGGGAGCTGAGACCTGAAGCTGAAGGATCACAGCTCAACATCAGCCGGGCAGGAAAGTCTGAGAGACTCAATAACCAGCAAAAAGCAGAGGTGGAGGCATTGTGTGTGTGTGTGTTTGTGTGTGTGTGTGTGTGTGTGTGTATGTGTGTGTGTGCAGGAAAGTCTGAGAGACTCAATAACCAGCAAAAAGCAGAGGTGGAGGCATGGTGTGTGTGTGTGTGTGTGTGTGTGTGTGTGTGTGTGTGTGTGTGTGTGTGTGTGTGTGTGTTGCTTTCTCAAATACATTTTCCATCTCCCTCAATAGACGGAGCTAATACTGCTTGAATTCCTTATAAATCCTGAAGTTTAAACCTCATACTTCAGGCATTAGAAAACACCAGTCACGGAAGAATTTGACCTAATTATTATGCTGTCTTCTTTAGAGAAAGGGAAGAGTCCGGGCTTTGAAGCTGTCTAAAGGTCGGGGCTTGTCACTGATATCGCTGTGGTTTTGCACCCTCTAAAGGCAGCGAGGACAACAGCACTGCTCACCCTGGCTTTAGTCTCAAGCTTTGCTGGAAAGCTGCTTCCAAGGGAGGAGAAAGGGGAAGAAGTCCCTAGGTCTGTCCAATCCAAAAGCTGAGTTCTAACACGCGTTTCAGCCCTCCCCGGAGATCAGGGAAGTACCAAGCTCACGTTGATTCACAGCGTTTTTTCCTTGGGGAAACTACTCCCGGCTGTCATCCGAATAACAGAATAAGCAGAGCAAACGGCTTTAGTTTTAAACAGCACTTTGGCCAAAGTCAATATTCTGTTTAGAGAATTTGGTCCATTTTTTAAAAAGACAAATATTACCTTCTTTCGCTCTTTGGCTTTGGGAAATAGCTCAAGTGTCTACAGTATACTAACAAGGTAAGTGTACTGGGCTTTTTACTTTCCAGGGAAAATGTTTCCAGTCACTGCTTCTACAGAGTCTGCGCGTTCTTGAAGCATTGATTCCCTAAGCCAGTGATTTGAGGCCTCTTGGTTATCAGGAATGCCACAGAGCTGACAAGCAAGTGGAAGTTTTAGAGAAACAAAGTTAATCTGTGGAAGAAGTATTCAGAAAGAAGAGTAACAGAGCAGGGTCCCTCCGTGGTCCTCAATCCACTCTGCCTCTACAAAGAAACACCGTAACAGGTAGGAAAGTGGAGCTCAAAATACTCCACAGGTGCCAGGTCAGAAAACACCACCATAAAGCTGCAGAAACGGGGTGATAAGAAAAGTTAACTGATCAGATTCCAACCGTGTAGAACTCATCACTGATTACATAATTAGGAGGAATAGGGGATTTGGGTTTCAGAATTTTTTGTTTTTCCTTTTGGGTGGTTTTTTTTTTTAAGGGGGAACACAGAAATAGAAGGGGAAAGGGTGGACAAATGCAGTCTCAGTATCCGGTATGTGGAAAATGAAGTCGGCAACTTGTAGACAGAGACAGAAGGGTTCCTCAAGGGGAAAGCAAAGGACAGGATGCATGACATTATCCAAAAAGAATTGTACTCACTACCTGGTTTATGAAATGATGTCATTATTGTTAATAGTAACAATACAATTATAGTTTTTCAAACAGGCAAGAACAAATTTAGATAAATACTATGTTTGGCTTTTCAGCTTTGAGAAAATATGGAGGTTTAACTATCTGCTGTCTGCTAGCACCGTGTCTCTCCATATCTCCAAAGTTACTGCTAGCTGGCCAGGTATAGGGTGGTATTTTGCTATTGTACAAAGTCCAGCTCAGTAAACCAGATCACCAGTAAACCAGTACAAGCGATCTTTAAGGAGGAAAGTATTGTATATTTCCTAAAATACTTTACAACTGACATAGGACGTATAGCTCCCAATTCCTCACCTTTCAGAAAAACTGCATCACCTCCATCTTTGCATTCATGTGGGCTTTTGGTTGTTGTTGTTTAGGTTTGGGGGGGACTAGATTTGCAGACAGAAAAACCATTTTTAAGATAGAAAGAAAATACTGTAATCCACTGTCTTACAAATGTAGAAACAGTAGATAGAGAAAACAAACACTCTGCCCAAGGTTACAGGCTAGCGGCAGAGAAAGAATTTGAATTCCAGTCTCTCACTTTCTACTTTGCTCAGGACCTTCCCTTACTTGATTTAGGCATGTTTTGAAATGGCTGCCCCTGCTCAGAAGTGTGCAGTTTGTAGATATGAACTTCATTTTAAAGTATAGATTTTGCCAAACTGTGGTGGCTCACACCTGTAATCCGAGGCTGAGATCGGAGGATCGAGGTACACAGCGAGCCTCGGCAGGAGAGGCCATGAGACACTTATCTCCAATGAATTACTCAGAAAAAGCCGGAAGTGGTACTTGTGCTCAAGTGGTAGAGCACTAGCCTTGAACAAAAGAGGACCAGGGACAGCAGCCAGGAGAGAGTTTAGTCAGTCTTTTCAGAGAGACATTTTTTCCAGACACTTATCCCATTGCCCAGTCTAGACAGGGCCAAAGAGCATCTGCCAGCATCTGAGAGCATGTGTGCCTGGGCCTTCGATCTCTATAGGACTTCGTCCACATCCTACCTGTTTATCGTCTGAGAGCACGTCTGTCTGGGCCTTCGATGTTTGTAGGACCTCGTCCACATCTGCCCTGTGTATCTGATTGGTGCTGGTCATTATTCCTGGTTAGAAACCACTTAGACTCTCCTAGGCTTTGACTCCACCAAATCGACAGGAATTATTTACCTACTTGCTTCCAGCCTTGTTGGGAAAGCTTATCTATATGAGCTGCTTTTTTAAGGTGACGGGAGGGAAGGAGGGAGAAAAGTTGGGGCCATAGGAAGTAAATACAGAGTAATATCTCGACATCTGTGATTAATATGCAATATGCTTAATACACAGTCCTGTGGGAATCTTTTTTATTTCAAAAACTAACCTATCTAATGGTGTTTCAGTAGCTTTCTCAGGGTGATATGACTAGTCAGTAGTGGAGAGGAAGTTCGAGCCCATCTCTGCTGCCGCTAACACCCTCTCTCCTTACAGCCTACCCAGCGCCCCAGGGCAAGCCTCTCAAATGCACTAAGAGCTTAAGGGGAAAGGTCTGAGTTCTCCACAGGAGAGGAGCCAGTCTTACCAGGGCAGGATGGCCGTACATTTAAACAAGCAGTCCCGGGAAGTCCCTCTGGTCCGCGCTCAAAGTCCATGAGATGCCCAGATTCAGCTGGCTCTGAAAGGCTGGAGATCTCAGAAGTGCCCAGCTCCCAGTAGTTGGTAAACCACTTTCCTTCCTGGTGCTTCTGACTGTGTTAGCAGGCAAGATGCAAAACCACCGAGACAAACTCCCCGACCCACCTCCCCAAAATGCGTAGCCGCAAACCCAGGCCCAGGTTAAAAAAAGAGTTTGAGTGACAGCATTCACGGGACGTCCAGGCTCTCAGCACAACAGCAGGTGCACACCCTGGCTTCCGAGTCTGAGACACACACGTGCTAAGGCACAGCCCAGCTACCACTAGCAGCCCAAGCTTCCATGGAAGACCATGCTGTGTGAGCCACTGATTGGCCCTGTGGGCTCCATGTGTATTTGTTCTCTTAGTTCCCTAGGGCCAATGCCACTATAAGTGACAATGACTACAAAACTCACACGGGGGGTTTATAACTTGATCCTGCCCCCCCCCCCAAATACCACAGGGTCAAATGTAACACCAGAGGAGTCAGATAGTTTAAAAGCAACCACGTGGATGTCCCAACTACCGTACTCGTGTTTCGGGAATGGCCAGGGGGTTGCAGGAAAGCAGCATGCACGGTGAAGGCCTCTTGCCACAGCATCAGCACCAGGTGAACCTGACTTACTGCCGCCAAATGACACACCTTCTGGTCAGGGCAAAAGCTAGGCTGAGGTCTGTGGAAGTCTGAAGCGTAAAATGAAAACAAGTCTGGTTCTCTGCTTGAATAGATAAAATGCTTTAGTGAATTCCCCTCCCTACCCCGTGTTACAAACCAGTAAAAGTCCAGCAAGCAGCAAACAATCCAGGAGAACATTAAGAAAGAACGTATGCATGCTTATTATATAGACTATGCTTATAAGCAGATAATAACAAAGAAACATCCTAATCGGGGAAATTGACAGGAATGAACGATTTACAAAAGAAGACATACCACTAGCCAAGAAGCAAAAGAAAATCTTTTTTTTTTATTGTGAACATACTTTACAGAGGGGTTACAATTACATGGGCAAGATAATGAGTACATTTCCTATCAAGCATTGTAGCCTCCTCCTTTGTTTACCCTTCACATCCCTTCCCAGCCTCCCCCCACTCCCCGACAAGAAAATCTTTTTGATACTGAAGCAATTGGATTTCAGAGCCTGTTTTGTTGTTGTTGTTGTTTGTTTTTTGGTCAGTTGTGGGCCTTGAACTCTGGGCCTGGGTGATGTCCCTCAGCTCTTCAGCTTAAGGCTAGTGCTCTACCACTTGAGCCACAGCACCACTTCTGGTTTTCAGAAGGTTAACTGGAGATAAGAATCTCATGGACTTTCCTGCCGGGGTTGGCTTTGAACCTCAATCCTCGGATCTCAGCCTTCTGAGTAGCTAGGATTACAGGCGTGAGCCACCGGCACCCAGCCAGAGCCTGTATTTTTTTAAGCAAAACATAATTCTACTTCCTCTCAAAGATGAAAGAAAAATGTTTTTCCCGCGACAGTAGTTGGGTCTTGTTCCGAGGTCTCACTTCTAACATGGTCATACAAGGAAGCTGTGTCTGACCTTCTTCCTGCAGAGGAGAGCATGGCCAAGCGAGTGGCGGTGATCGGGGCAGGCGTGAGTGGCCTGTCCTCCATCAAGTGCTGCCTGGACGAGGCCCTGGAGCCCACCTGCTTTGAACGAAGCAGTGACTTCGGGGGACTGTGGAAGTTTACTGTGCGTGCCTCTGCCCGCCTCCCCTCCCTGCCCTCCCCCCTCCCTCCCTTCTCCCCCCTCCCTCCCCACCGTCCCAGCTCCCACTCATACTCTGCCCTTGGGTTTGAATCCGCTCGAGACTCTGTGGTTGTCAAGGAGAGTATGTGGGGTGCAGCTGACCAAGGAGGAGAATAGACAAGGGCATGATCCTCGGTGTGGAAAAGAAAGGAAAAGAGAGCTGTAGCTGATAAATAACTGTATGCAAGTTGATGATGATGTCTGGAGCATGAACATTTAAAAAAAAAATCAGTAGAGTGTCAAGTAAGCTGGACTGCCTCCGTGAATTAAGCAGATTGAATTCTAGAGAAGGGGGAAGGTGGCATCAGTTGAGTTCCAACTCCCCTCCATAATCATTGTTTGGGGTTGGAAGAGAACAAGGATTCCATACCTCCGCAGACCCGGTGTATCAATGGGGTGGGGGAGGAGCTTTCACATCATCAGAATAGAAAGAACCCAGGAAGTAATCAATCTTCCTTACAAGTAGCATCTGCAGCCAAGTGTGGAGGAGCTACCAGGGGTTCCAGGGGCTCAGGGACCTGCTCCGGTGGTGGCATGTTAGATGCCAGAAGACAGAATCTAGACAGACCCAAATATTAAGTGTACTTGGGAAAAGAAAAGAGCAACATCTACTTAACTGTTATAAGTCAGGGAAGTTTTTGTGGAAGAGATAGCATTTGTTGCAATCCTAAGTAAAGGCAAAGAAGGCAGAATAAGCCTTCCTGTATATCATCAGGAGTGGCCAGAGCCTCCACCTTTTCTGTTATGTCATAAGCTGAATGAAGCCACCAAATGTCCAGGTGGGAAAAAAAGCTACTCTGGTTTGTGTAGCTTCTGGTATTTAACAATATAGTTGGTGTATTTTTTCTTATTTTTTAAAAAAATAATACTGGAATGAAGGAAGGAAAATGCAAATTAAATATGATAACAATGCCTGTAGGTCAGCACTATTAAAATTTTGATGTAACTTTTTTCCAGTCATACGCGCTTTTTGTAAAATGGCAGTATTATCTATCATTCGGTCAACATGTACCTCTTCAAGGGCCCAGTGGCACACAAGACAGACAGGGACCCTGCCCTCATTTCCAGCCCACTCTGCAGTGTGATAAAGTCCGTGGTAGAGGTTATTGCTCTGGGGCCATGACAGCTCCCACATGCAAATCTGTGGGTGAGGGAAGAGTTCTTAGGGAAAAATGGCTGCTGAGAGAGATATGGAGATTCGTGTCAACCACAAGAAATCCATTAGCTTTAGTGTTGAGCTTTTTGTTTCTGAGTGCTGGAGGTCAAGACCTGGTGACAAGTTCAAGTATATGGGAGAAGATAGAAGCTACCAGGACATAAGGATTCTTCCCTGCAGACCAAGATAGGATGGAAAGAGACAAGGCTACAAGAGCATAGAGTTGTGAAGAGGGTTTGTTTCTAAAATGTAAGTTTTGCGGGGTTTAGGTGCTAATGAGAAGGAACCAATTAGACAGATTGACTGAAAATAGAGAGAGTAGTGAGGAAGAGCTGGCAAAGGCTTCTCCAAGGCCAGGCACGGAGGAAGATGTCCAGAGTCGGAGAGGCAGGAGTGCCCGTGACGAGGGAAAATTCCACAGGCAGCCAGCACCAGCTCAGGGGCCTGCATCCAGGGAGCCATTCAGGGAGGCTGCTAGTCTTGGGGAGCCCTTTAAAATTTACTCAGCATCTTTGTGCTCTGGAGAAGATATTGCCCTTCATTATCCCAATCCTACTCATAGTGTCTCAGCACCAAAGTATGGAAGCCACTGCTGAGTTTCCTGTAATTAAGATTACACGAGCACCCAGCCTCCCGTGAGCCCTGTTCAGCTAAGCTGGCTTGACCGACTGAGATCTCTGTTCTCTCCTCCTGTCCCCTGCATTCCCTCATACGAACTACGCCCTGCCACAGGAAGATTCCAAAGATGGGATGACCAAGGTCTACAAGTCAGTAATGACAAACATTTGCAAGGAGATGTCATGTTACAGTGACTTCCCTTTCCAAGAAGATTACCCCAATTTCATGAACCAAGAGAAATTTTGGAACTATCTCCAAGAAGTGGTTGAGCATTTTGGCCTCCTGAAATACATTCGGTTTAAGGTGAGGTGCGTTGGTGACGGGAAGTCAGTGGCTGGGGGCCAGCCTACCAGCACCCTAACGGAAACAGGATGGGTTAAGCACAACTCCCTGGGTTTTTATCTAGATGAATAACGCAGACCATATTCTCCTCACTTAACCTGCTGCTCAAATCAATCCTTTTACAGAAACCAATCACTAAATTGCTACTGAACTCCTCTAAATAGCCAAGTCTCCTTTTGGATGAAATTAAGAATCCACTTTGGGAAGGAAGGAAAAGTAATTTTGTTTCACGAAACCCATTTTGTTCGTGAAATGACTACAAGTCTGAACCACAGAAATTATAAAGGGAGAGAGGTCGTTTTTCTAAAATTTTTCAATAAATCAGGAATCCTAACACATGATTTTGCCACAAATAAAAATTGACTGCTTCTAGGCACCTGTGGCTCACACCTGTAATCCCAGCTACTCAGGAGGCTGAGAGATCTGAGGATGGCAGTTCAAAGCCAACCCAGGCAGGAAAGTTCCCTGAGACTCTCTCTCCAATAAACTATTCAGAAAAATCCAGACGTGGCACTGTGGCTCAAGTGGTAGAGTGCTAGCACAGAGAGGCTTAGCGACAGAGCCCAAGTCCTGAGTTCAAGTCCCAGGACCAGCAAAATAGTAATAATAATAATAATAATAAATTGACTGCTTTAATCCTTCCAATGAAATGATTCTGATACCTGGCCCCTGATCTAAGTCTGTGTGACTTACTTAACTTCCTGAGAACAAGATGGCCCAGTCTTTATAGGACCTGTGCTAGAACTTGGTTTACTTAAAGAACAGACCTGGGTTCTGGCACAGTGATACCGGGCTTCTGGGCTTGGTAGAGGGAGAGTGAGTGAGTGCGTGTCTTCTGCTCGCAGACCACAGTGTGCAGCATCACCAAACGCCCAGACTTCTCTGAAACTGGCCAGTGGGATGTTGTCACGGAGACGGAGGGCCGGCAGGACCAAGCTGTCTTCGATGCCATCATGGTTTGCACTGGATTCTTCCTGAATCCCAATTTGCCTTTGGAGTCATTTCCTGGTGAGTCACCTCAACCTGACACCATGAATAATTCTTTTCAGTTCTTCTAGAAGAAGAAGAAAATACTGCTTTCTAATTGGGACCCCTTCCTCATGATTTGACAGCTTGATCACTCTAGAGAATAATATGCACAAAATTATATTGAAATTGCAAAGAATGATGTGGGTGCTAGATATTGCTATGATTGGTTATTACTATTTAGTGTTATGGTCTTCACTTGATAATACAGAGCTGCTTCAAGTTCAAGGATCATAATCATAAGCTCTATCATAAAAGCAAAAACACAGGCTTTGATTTTCAGGCTCACATGATAGGTCACTTGAAACAAGACTGTAATTCAAGAATGCAAAGAAAGTGATAAGGAAACAAACTAGAAAATGCACATGAAAGTGACTAAATCCACTCTTCAAAAGAGCAACCACATTAATAATCACACTTCCTAGAACAGGGCTTCTCAAAAAGGAGGTTAGAACTCTCTTCTGGAAATGCTTCTAACTTCAACATTCTTTTTCTTTCTTTCTTTTCAATATCAGAGTTTGAATTCAGTGTCTCCTGCTTAAGCCACCTGTTGGTCCCAACATTTAAGATCTTCGTGACCAGAAAAATCTCCATTTTTTAGGAGATTATTTGGAAAGCTAGTATTTATCTAAATTCAGGTGTGCAAAATAAAACTAGTCGAATAAGGATTACTAAAATACAGAAAAGTTACCCTCATGTCTCTCTCTCTCTCTCTCTAGTGACCTTAAAAACAATTGAGTGATTCAAGTTTTGAACTCTTATTTTAGCGATTGAAAAAAGACTAATAAGAAGAACTGTGAATAATAAAAGTTGGGATCCTTGGCATGAAAATGAAATATAGGGCTGGGAAGGTGGCTCAGTGGTAGAGCTCTTGCCTTGCATGCCTGAGGCCCTGGGTTTGATTCCTCAGAACCACATAAGGAAAAAGAAAAAAGCCGGAAGTGGCGCTGTGGTTCAAGTGGTAGAGCGCTAGCCTTGAGCTGAAGAGCTGAGGGACAGCGCACAGGCCCAGAGTTCAGGCCCCACGACCGGACCCAAAAAAAAAAAATAAGAAATATAAAGCTGATTAAAGTGAATCACAAGTAAACAGAATCTCCTGTTTTAAAATGTATTTAGCAATCGAGGAGGAGTTTAATCCATAATTTCCTAGGAAGCAGTGCTGTGAATGGTAGTAAGGCTTCAGCTTGGTGCTGTTCTGGGAGTCCCAGCCCTTCTTATAGCCATGTTTCTGCAGCGCAATGTGTCACATGTGCAAACAGACCATTGGTTAGTCTTATCGCCTAGTCAGTTGCCACATTGTGCAAAGTCTTTTTTTTTTCTTTCTAGTAGTCTTTGCTTATATTTTTGCTATGTAGTATAGCTAGTCAGTAAGTATTTCTTAATAAGCTAATGACTTCATGGCTGAATGGTAGAAGAATGATATAATCCAGGGGAAAGCGAACCTTCAAGGGCACTGCCACACAGCAGTGCGGCCCGGCTGGGCCTCTGGGCCGCTGGCTTCCCTGGTTTTCCCTCGCCTCTCCTCTCCCAGGCAGGCAATCACTGCATTCACCACCGGTGTTCTCTCTGTCGCCTCTCAAAACTCCCACTGTTACCACCAAACAAGTAAAAGAAGCACAAGGTATCTGTAACATGAGTCTACAAGAACAATTATTTACAAAACAATCTGGCACCAACCTTCTTATGGAAAATATTAATGGAATTAAAATTCAATTTGCCAATGTATCATATCCACAAAGCACCATCCAAAATGTATTACTTTATGTGCTTCTTGGTGTTTTGAGGCAGTGCCTTGCTACGTGTACCTCAGGCTGGTCTCAAAATTATCATCCTGCCTGAGTCTCCTCAGTGCCGGGATTACAGGTATGGTATGCACCGCCACACCAGCTTAAAATGTATTTACTTTTAATTGACATGAAGTTGTACTACTTATGGGGTGCCAGGTGATGTTTTGATGCATGTATCGATTATGTAATGTTCAATCAGGATACACAAATCTATTTCCTGCAACTTTTTGTCAGTTCTTTGTGTTAAAGTACTCAATGGCCTTTCTTCTAGCTTTTCTGAAATATAAAGTACATTACTGTTATCTGCAGTCAACTCCTGTGCATAAGAATATCTGAAGTTATTGCTCTTATCTGGCAAGATCCACCTTTCCTCAAGCCTCCTGCATGATCTCCTCGGTTCTAGTAAACACTGTTCTACTCCCAGATTCTGAGATCAGCTCTTTCAGATTCCACATATGACTTCTACTAAATGGTGTTGGTCTTTTTGTGCCTGGCTTACTTCATGAGACATAAGGACCCCTCTTCCATCTGTGTTTCCTCAAATAACAAGAGTTCATCATCTTTTTTTGGCTGAATAGTATTCCACTGCGTGTGTGTCTATACCATATTTTCTTTATTCACTTATCAATCAACAAACATTTAGATTGTTTATGTTTGTCAGCTCTTGTGAGTAGTGCTGTAGTACATGGGAGCGTCCGTGTCTCTTCAACATATTGACTTCATTTCCTTTGGATACACGCCTAGTAGTGTGATTGCTGGATCAAATGGTAGATCTATTTTTGAATTTCCGAGAAACCTCCATACTGCTTTAAATAATTTCTACACGAATTTACTTTCCCACCAACAGTGTGGAAGGGCTCTACTCTCTCCACATCCTCTCTAGAACCAGGATTTCTTTTAATTTTAAATTTTTTAAAAAAGTAATAGTCAGGGGCTGGGAAGGTGGCTCAGTGGTAGAGCGCTTGCCTTGCATGCCTGAGGCCCTGGGTTCGATTCCTCAGCACCACATAAGCAAAAAGAAAAAAGCCGGAAGTGGCGCTGTGGCTCAAGTGGTAGAGTGCTAGCCTTGAGCTGAAGAGCTGAGGGACAGCGCCCAGGCCCAGAGTTCAGGCCCCACAACCAGACCCAAAAAAAAAAAAAAAAGTAATAGTCACTCTAACTGCAGCAAAATATTTCACTGTGGTCTGAGATGCATTTCTATGACGATTAGTGGTCTTAAGCATCTTTTATGTATCTATTAGCCAGTTCATTATCATGTCTTCACTGGAAAGAGGTCTGTTTAGGTGTGTTGCCATTTTTTAAAAAATAACCAGACTTCTTTATTTTTTTATTTGTCTATCGAGTTTCTTATATATTCTGAATGTTAGCTCCTGATCAGATGTGTAATTTGCAACTATTTCCTGCTATTCCACAGACTGCTTTGTAATTTGATGCAATCCCGTTGACTTTTGTTACTTGTGCTTTTGGGATCTATCCAAAACAACTTCATCTATGTTTCTTTCAGTAGTTTCATAGTTTCAGTTCCTACATTAAATTCCTTAATTGATTCTGAGTTGTTTTGCACAGGGTAAGTTTCATTCTGGCTTTATTCTTCTGCATGTGACTATCAATTTTCCTAGAACAAAGCATTGATGAGATGTGTGTTTCTCACACTGTAACTATGCGCGTCTACAGCTAGAGTCTGTTGTGTTCCACTGGTTTTCATCTGGGTTTTTTAATAATGTTATGCTGTTTTCATGACTGGTCATCTTTGTCGTATATTTGGACGTGTGTGTGTGTGTGTGTGTGTGTGTGTGTGTGTGTGTGTGTGTGTGTGTGTGTGTGTGTGCGCGCGTGCGCACTGCTCCTGGGACTGGAACTCAGGGCCTGGAGGCTTGCTGTCCCTGAGCTTTTTCACTCAAGACTTTTGCTCCACCACTTAAGCCACACCTTCACCTTCACCTTCATTGGAGATAAGAGCCTCCTGGACGTCCCTGCCCAGGCTGGCTTCAAACGGAGATCCTCAGATCTCAGCCTCCTGGGTAGCGAGGATCACAGGTGAGCACCACCAGCTCCCAGCTCCCTGCACGCTGTTTATTAAGCGGAATGAGGTCTTGTGAGCCTTTGCTGGACTATTCTAGAACGCTTGTCAAGTCCCAGGAAAGAGAAGCACCTTGTGCTGCTTTTATATACTTCCAGAAGGAAAGGCCGCCGTATTTCCAGGACGTCCCTTTCCTGCAGGACGGTTGGTGCATTGGAGGAGGCTTCAGACTGGTCTTTTCTTCCTCCCCAGGAATCCGTGACTTCAAAGGACAGATCCTACACAGTCAGGAGTACAGGACCCCGGACGCCTTTCGGGGCAAACGTGTCTTACTGATGGGTCTTGGCAACACTGGAGGGGACCTGGCGGTGGAGCTCAGCCGAACGGCAGCCCAGGTACACCACTCCTGAGGAGGTCCGGCCACCCCTGCCCATCCCCTGCTTGCTCAGTGACACTGAAAGCTCCCTAGAAAGACTCAGGGCCGCTCCTAAGTCTCTGGACTACCTAAAAGGCCACACCTTACAGAAGCATCTCCAAAAAGCAACCAGGGGAAATCATGTGAATGCCAAATGACACCACAGATTTCAGGACAAGGCCAGATGTCCCACAAAGGGCAATTTCCCCTCCCTCCCCCCCTCTCCTTACCCTCCCTTCCACCCCTCCCTCTTCTCCTCCTTCTCCCCCTTCCCCTTCCCCTTCCCACCTCTTCCTTCCCCTTCCTCTCTCCCTCCCCTTCCCTCTCTCTCCCTTCCTCCTCTCTCTCCCTCTCCCCCTCCCCCTGCCTCTCCCTCTCTCCCCCACTCACCTCTCCTAAGCCAACCTCAAATTCATGCATTTCTTGTCCAGGCCTCACCAGTCCTAGAATTAGGTGTTAGCTACAGCATACACTGTCTTTGCAATTCTGGAAAATACCCTGTGTAAGAATAGAAAGGGGAAGTTGTTTCCCAATTGTCTCAAAGTGTTGTCTTAGAAATCAGATTTGCAACTTATTTAAAGACAAAAAAATCCCTAATGCACCAAGTATATATGATTTTAGAAAAGGCTAAATATAGACTCACCAATTAAAAATCTATTCCATTTTAGCATAAACTGTAGGAAAGCAGTTAGATCTACAAAGAATGCATTTATATTTCATTCAGTTAAACATGTCCTTCTAAGCCTTCACTTGAAATTCTGTATTACAAATGAACGATTGTTCACTTACACATATTAAATTCTATTGTTCTAAGCCTATAAATGCAAAGAACACTCTTAACACATCTCCATCAGGTGACACGCCTCTTTAGAACAGTGCCAAGTACAGGAACACACAGTCCCTATGTCCATCTAGGCACAAATTCACCATTCGCTGTTCTGAGGCGGAACGTTAGCCTTTGAAACACGTGAACACGTCCTGGAGACAAATGGCGGGCAGGCCTGCTCCTCTCCCGACTCCCTTCTCAGGTGCTCCTCAGCACAACAACCGGCACGTGGGTCATCAGCCGCATCTCAGACTGGGGTTACCCTATAAGTATGGCCACTACGAGGTGGCAGTCTTTCATCAAGAAGACGATGCCTGCGTGGCTCCTCAGCTGGATGCAGGAGAGAAAGATGAACAGAAGACTTAACCATGAAGATTATGGATTAAGTATTGCAGAAGGGTAATTTCTGTTCATTTCATGAACTTTTTTTATTGCTTGCTCGGTTGGTTGATTTGCACTGCTGGAGGTGGAAGCCACGGTCTTGTGCAAGGTACACAAGTACTCCTCCAGTGAGCTACACCCTCAGCCCTCCTTATTTTCTTCATGTTTTTCTTCTGTGTTAATTGTACATATTAATGAGGTTCCACACATGCATGTAGCATGCACTGGTCAAATCCAGCATCATTTTTCCTACGCCTAGTCCCTCCTATACTCTTCCTAATCTCTGATAGTCACTGATAGTCACTACTTCCTTTCAGCCTCACGTCTGAGAGAGAACACGCAGGACTTGCCTTCTGTGTCTAGCTTGGCTTACCCAATGTCCTCCAAGTCCATCCATCTTGCTTCACAAGATTTCATTCTTCTTGATAGCTGAATAATACTCCACCATGTATATATATACCACGTTTTCTCTATCCAGTTATCCGTTGATAGGCACCCAAGTTAATTCTCTATGCTAGCTATTGTGACTAGTACTTCCATAAACATGGCCAGGCTAATTTCATATCCTTTGGATATAGTCTCAGAAGTGGGATAAATGGATTAAATGGTAGATCTATTCATTTTTTTTTCCTTTTCTCATTTTGATGGTGCTGGAGTTTGAACTCAGGGCCTCATGCTTGCTAGGATGGTGGGATATTGCTGAACCACACCTCTGGTCTGCTTTTTTCTGATGATAGGTCTCACCTCCCACCCAGGCATGCGCCTGACCATCAGTCCACCTTCCCTTCCGTGGAGACAGTCTAAGGGACTTCTCTGCCCAGACTGACTCAGAACTACAAGCGTCCCAATCTCAGCCTCCCATGTGGCTTGAGATGGCTGGGGTGACTTCTGCATAGAGATATAGGATGAGAACTTTTCTGTCCAGGTTGGCCTTGAACCACTCCCTTCCCATTCTCAGGCTCAGGTAGCTAGGATTATAGCTGTGAGCCACCACACCTGGCTTTTTCTGTTTTGTTTTGTTTTCAAGGAGACTATACTGTTTTCCATAATGGCTGTGCTATATCAGTGATTTGTTCCTTTTTCTCCATTACCTCTGCCAGCATTTTTATTGCTTTCTTATAATAGCCAAGCTAACAGGGGTAAGATGGTATCTCACTGTGGTTTTGATTTTTCATTTCTCAGGGGGTATTCTGACATCAGTATTTCTCATTCTACAGTTTTAAGAACTCAAAATGTCTCCTAACTATGGCATGTCTTTTTTTTTGGGAGGGGGGGGAGCTGAACTCAAGGCTTGGGCACTGTCCCTGAGCTCCTTTGCTTAAGAGTATTGCTCTACCATTTTGAGCCACAGCTCCATTTCAGGGCTTTGAGGTAAGAGTCTCACAGGGATTTTTCTTCTCTGTGCATTCTCTGTGCACTAACAAAAGTAGTAAGAGAAAGGATGATAGCTACCCTCTCCAGTTTGAAATTTCAAGTATTTAAATTGTCTGTGAACTCTCAGAACTGCACACACACACACACACACACACACACACACACACACACACACACACACACACAAGACCACGTCGGCAGCCCTGCTGTGTGTAGACACCACTCCTTTCTTTTTTTTTTCCCAGGGTTCAGGGTACACTCGGAGGGCAAAGGTCCCTAGCTCCTCTCCCACTAGTTACTTTTTACGAAACTAGTGCTGACTAAAGAAGTTTCTTCTCTAACACAAAGCAGGCATCATTCTGGTAGAAAAGTAACCCTGAGCTAAAATAATAACTAACTGTCTCCCCTGACTGAGTGATTAAATATATGAACACATAGTAGAGATCTTTGAAGTTACATATTTTAATACCTCTCTGCATAGAGTCACATATGGGCCAGAAAAAGAAAATTTTTGAATTGCATGAAATGTCATTAGATGTAGTTTATTATGCTTTATTCATTAACAAACTATATTTCAAATTATTAAAAATACCAAAAGATTTCTTGTCAATTTTATAGACAATGTTTGATATGATAGGTAGAATGAGGTATTCAAAACAACTTTACTTAACAGTCTATCTAGATTCATGCTTTTGTTTTTAGTCAAATAGTTTCTTGCAAATTTTCTCTTGGTTTAATGTCATTCCTGAGAGCCTGGGTGAAAAAAACCGTTTGATCCCAGATCGTTTATTATGTGCTTTGTGCTGGACAGGAAGGAAGGAAGGAAAGAGGAGAGAAGAATGGGAAAAGCACGGAAGGGAGGGAGTGAGGGAGGAAGGAAGGGAGGAAGGAAGGGAGGGAGGGAGGAAGGGAGGGAGGGAGGGAAGGAGAGAGGGAGAGAGGGAGGGAGGGAGGGAGGGAGGAAGGAATTCCAGGAGACAGATAACTGTAGATGGAGTCAGGAAAAGTGTAGGCTTAGTTATTTTCCACATGTCTTCTACTGAAAGCAAGGAATCAAAACAAGTTCTGAACATACAGTCATGGAGACAGCCTTGAATTCGATGCAGGTCAATTCACTTCCTTGGGTTGGCAGATAATTTCCTTCAGCTGACCGGATAAATCGTTTGCTAGAGGGTCTCAAAGATATAAGTACAGTGAATATTTTTTCTCTTGTGTCTAAGAAAAACTGCAAAATTTATTGTGAATGATGAGCTTCCAGCCTGCCTCCTCTGTGGGACGGTCACTATGAAAACCAGCGTGAAGGATTTTACAGAAACCTCTGTTGTCTTTGAAGATGGGACAGTCGAAGCCAACATCGATGCTGTGATCTTCACTACTGGATACCTATGTTCTTTCCCCTTTTTTGAAGAACCTCTGAGGAGCCTTTGCACAAAGAGGGCCTTCTTACACAAGCAAGTCTTTCCCTCAGACCTGGAGAGAGCCACGCTCGCCATCATTGGCCATATCAGCCTTAGTGGGTCCATCCTAGCAGGCACAGAGCTGCAGGCCCGGTGGGCTACAAGAGTGTTCAAAGGTATCGTTGTGCTGTCTAAAGCCAAACATGGTCAACTGAATCTTAAAATCAGTGTACTGTTTACAGCGTCTCCGTCACAGAGATTTTGCCCGGCGTATGTGAGGCCCGGGGCTCCATTGCCGGCTTGCCACTTAGCATCAGCTACAACCAAACAGCTATGAGCTAAGATAGTAGGAAGCCTTAAAAGAACATAACAAGCAATTAATTGCATATGTATGTAGTATCACAATGGGCATACTATGCCATTCCACCTGAGTGGAAAAGATTTGACTGTGAACGAGATGAATTTAGACAACAGAGTGTAATCAATATTTTTAGAACTTTTTCTGCTCTAGTCCAGTCTAATTACTTGTTAGTCTTTTCATCAATGATCAGAAATAGAATTTTATACTGCTTGCAAAGAAAGACAGTATTCATACTATGAATAAAAACTGAGAGAAGAGAGAATAACCTTTAAGACACGCTCATGGAAGACTGAGCCAGTGGCTCACACATACAATCCCAGTCAGGAGACAGATCAGGAAGGCCATGCTTCAAGGCCAGTCCAGGCAAAAAGTTAATGGGGCTCCTTCTTAACCAATAGCTGGGCATAGTAGCACGCACCTCTCATCACAGGTATGTAGAAGGTTAAGATCTGGAAGACTGCAGCTCTAGTGCAGCCCAGGCAAGAATCACTCAGGAGAACCCCTCCCGCCAGACACACAGGACACAGTAGCGCAGGCCTGTTGGGTGCAAATGAGGACTGCTGCCCAGGCTGGCCTGAGCTGATAACACATGCATGCACACACATACATACATGCATGCATGCACACATGCATACACACACATATATGTGTGTGTATGCAGGTACATGCATGCATGGATACAAAAAACAGCAAAAAAAGACTGGAGATGCAGCTTACATCATGCCTAGGAAGCATAAAACCTTGAGATCAATCCCCAAGGCCACCAAATACATAAATGTAGGTGACATCAAAGCACTTTAGACCCTGGAAGCAATGCTGTTACCGCACTCGCTTGTCATAACCCCAGGAGCACAGAGGCCAGAGATTGCTGGAGTCATGGCTGGTGGAATCCAACCCCAGCTGTGAAACTCACTCCCTTTGTGAGGGCTTCTTTACATCTCAGCCCTGGTCTCCCATTAAAAAAAAAATGAGCATAACAAACCCTTTGTCTCTAGGATTTTTTTAAAATAAATAATGTCTGAAAGAGAATTAGCAGAGTATTTGACAGACAGTACAAGCATTGAGCACCATTGCTCTCAGTCACTGTCATTCCTATCTCCTATTCGAAAGCAGGGTAAGGTTTAGATTAGAACATGCTTTAAAGATCCACAGTTATATTGTGTCTCAATATAAGCAGCACTCACGTTTCAGCCAAGCAGCTCTCTTTGCCGAGTGAAATCAATTCCCAATCATTTATAAGCAGTGCCTAGCACAGTATGAATGGGTGCTGACAGCTATTCCACAGCGTGACTGTAACAGTTACTGACTGTATTTAAACCTTACGTCCTCCGAAGTTGGCCAACATGTTAACTGCGTCAGGGAGGGGAAAGGAATTGCTTAGGGAATCATTATTTAGAGGAGGGGGGAAATCCTGGTCCTTCATTAAATTATTACAACTGTGTGCTCTTAAAGGCCAATTAACACACTATCCAATTATATTAGAGCCGTTAGTATTGTAGGGTTTTTTTAAGTATTTTCTAATGAGGTTGAAGATAATTATTAGGATAGTAAAGCTGATACAGACAGAACTCTACTAGACAGATCCCAGCATCCAAGTTGCCGTGGCCCTCCCCACAGAGCTTCAGAGAGCCAGGCAGGAAAGCGCCAGGGCTGACTAGGTTTTCACAGATCAATCAACTCAAGGCCTGCAGAAAGTTCAGCTCAGCGCTGCGCTAGGTCAGCTGGTGGACAGGCTGGACTGGGGCCCCTTAAGGGGGCCAGGGGGATGGAGTGACATTAGAAATGCAAAGGAGGGGGGGCAAGAACACAAGGTATCAGTCTGGGATTTCAGACTCTGGGCAGCCGGACAACTGCCGAGAATGGCCGGAGCCCAGGCTGCCAGGACAACAGCGGGCAGGGAATTCAGAATGAGTAGGAGCAGAGGCGAGGGCCGAGGGTCTCAGCTGGAGACTGAGAACCACAGTCCTCACAGCCATCCCAGTAGACACACCTCTGTGCCAGGGACTGAGACTCCCCACGGAGCGAAGCTGGGCCGGGGCCCAGGCAGAGTTTCGCACGTTTTCCACTTAAGCTGCTGGTAATGGTCACAAGACACAGCCGTATAGTACTGTATGTGAACAAGAAAAAATAGGCTGTGTGGTGAGGGAGGGAGGGAAGGAAAAAGGGAGCGAGGGGGGGAGGGAGGGAAGGAGGTGGGACACAGGAACTGATGTCACAAACGGTGCAAGCTGAGTCCTAGGCCGTGAGAACTCCCTGGTGAGCTGGGTTAGGCGAGAAACTGTACTTACGCACGTGGATTTCATTCTTGGCTCTGGCTTTCTCGTGCTCTGAGGGTGGGGCAGTTGGAGGCTAGAAATGAGAGGAAAGCAAGCTTAATTCATTTATTTATATAAAAAGCCACTTCGTTTGACTTAAATGTTGCTTCTGATTTTTCTCATAGGCCTCTGCAAGCTACCTCCACCCCAGAAATTAATGGCCGAGGCCAGGAAAAAGGAGCAGCTCATTAAGAGGTACAAACTATCACTGGTGATAGGGGAAGCCCAGCAATTAGTTCCGTTGAAAGAACCCCACCACAATCAGGGACTCTCAGTGTAGATGCTACGAAGCATTCTAAAGATGCAGAAATAACTGTGCTGTGCATCAGAGGGAGATATTTTTAGCTCCAACTCTGCCTCCAACTAAACATGTGGCCCCAGACACATGGGGGAGGGGGGGAGTACCAGGTGTGCAGAGAGAGACTCGAAAGCCCAGTCCTTTATAGAGCAGCCATCTTCACTTCGCCTCCAGAAACTGACTCTGACCTGCCAGCTTACCATTTCTCAGGCTGGAATGTTTTATGTATTTCATGTTGTATTTATTTATGTGCTTATTTATGTATGTAATGACACTGGGACATCATGAACATATACCAACAGAAGTATTCACAAATAAAGGTTTCCCACACGCACTATGGTCATGTTAAGGTCAAGTTCAATCCTTGGATCCACATATAGTCCTCTCAATCCACAACTGATATCAACAAAAAAAAATACATGTCCATCCATACATGTGAGGCTCTCTGGTCCTGTTTATTCATCATTGATTCTGTCATTTGGACTAACCAAATTCCTATCAAACTCAGGAAGGCCTCTCTTCAAAATACCTCCATTTAGCCCATCTTTCAACAAATTTCCGCTAAAGATACCCTTGGAATATAAGCTTCTTTTACTTTGCCTTTCCAACAGAGAAAAACACATGCCCAAAACAGTTTTCTTTTGAAAAGGGAGTAACAAAAGAGTAAGAGGAGGCATGGGTCTTGGAACTTGAGAAACAACGGGCATAGAAAAATTAATGAAATGCCGCCATCTTCTTTATTTCTTCACAGGGCTGTGATTAAAGATCCCGCTCAAAGAATGACCGACTACATTTATTACATGGATGACATTGCCACATGCCTTGGCTCGAAACCCAACATCCCGTTTCTGCTCCTCACGGATCCCAGACTCGCCTGGGAAGTTTTCTTTGGACCATGTACCCCTTATCAATACCGCCTAATGGGCCCTGGGAAATGGAATGGAGCCAGAAAGGCCATCCTGACCCAGTGGGACAGGACCCTGAAACCTTTAAAAACGCGAATCATCCCCCGCTCCCCCAAGCCCCGTTACTTAATAGCTTGGGGAGCACCTGTCCTCGTTGCCTCTCTTCTACTTATCTATAAATCCTCACTCTTCCTTAAATTGGTGCCAAGCAAACTGTATGATAAAATCTCCCCTTACCTAGTGCTGCTGTGCATCCCCTGAAATCTATGCGGTGTTGGAAGTGGGGAGCTTTTAACAGGAGGTGTCTGGGTCCTGGGAGTCTGGTCCTCACAGACAGACCAAATGCTGGATTCCTTATCACAAGCAGATTGTTGTAAAACTGATCTGCTCCGCTTTGGTCCCCTCCTGATGTATTTACTTGTCCTTCCATTCCACTCTGTACAAAGCTCTCCCCACCATGCCCTTCGATTGTGAAAACCGAATAAACTTTCCTTGCAGATTGCTTACCTCTCCCGCCGTGATACTCCCTGGATGCCATGCTGAAAATAAACTAAACGACTTGGGGGCAGGAGGGTGGGAAGGGGGAAAACTGGGAGAAAATGAGTGAGCAGGGTGACACTGTTCAGAAAGAAGGGTACTCACTACCTGGCTTAGGTAACTGTCACCCCTCTGTACGTCAGCTGTACAATAATTTAAAAAACGCCCATCTCATGCGCTCTGCAATAGCAGTGAGAATAGAGCCGGATGCCTGGTGTCCAGAATCCGGTCAGTATGCGGGTGGTACCAACTCATAGCAACTTTACCTCCCAGTGTCAGGTGTACTCCTTTGTTTCCCATCCTAACTGCCAAGTTCAGAACCAGTCTTTTTTGTCAGAACTTTTGCACTGCACTGTCCTATGTGATCCTCGGGACTGGTATTCCCTTTGTGTTTTGTGTATCTCCCCCATCCTTCCTCCCAACTCCCACACCACCCTCAACAAGCTTCCTTGTTCCATTTTCATACTTGTACAGAAAGCACCCTCCTTTGCTCTGTCCACCCCCCCCCACCCTACACCTTGTACCCGCCCCCAGACAGTACATGCTTCAACTTCTTAACATCCATATTTGAAAATGCAGGTTAACTGTTCACAGGGGCGTCACCATAAACTGTACTTTGATCAGGATGTATCTGTCCTCCTCATCTACTCCCACCCTCCCCAGCGCCCTCACCCATTTGATTTAAAGCAGACTCGATCACCAGGGCCTTTTCCTGGCATCATTCTTCTTGGAGAAGTAGAGTCAAGACATGTTCTAAGTATGATAGCTGACGTCTGTTCGAGCTGTAGAGCAGCACTGAAGAAGGAGGCGTGCGCTGGCAGACTCAGGCTTCTGAGGCGGCGGTGAACAAGTCACAGTGGTGACAAGCAGTGGAGTTTGGAGGCAGCTGGGGTAGGTATTTCTCAGGATGGCTGGGGAGACAGCCCTGGCTATGCAGGGTTGCATATATTTTAGTTCAGGTCATCATTCTGTCTCCTACTTGTGTTAACCTGAGATCATGCCTCTGGTTCTTTCATTTTTTTTCCCTGATGGTGCTAGGGCCTTATGCTTGCTAGCCATACATTTGACCACATGAGCCGAACGTGGATGGTATGGGTGATCATGCCTACTTTAGTCTTTGATGATTTCTTCTCAAATTTATACTTAGAAAAAAATGCACATTGTAGTTCTAAGTCATGGTGAGCTAATAAGTGTTGCTCTGTCCTGCAAAAGTTATGTAAGAGGTGGCTTCTTCTTTGCCCCCTATTTTGTGTTGGTTCTGGGGCTTGAACTTAGGGCCTGGGTGCTACCCCTGAGCTTCTTAGGCTCAAGGGTAATACTCTCCACTTGTGCCACAGCTCCACTCCTGACTTTTTGGTAGTTAATTAACAATAGGAATCTTACAGAGTTTCTGCCCAGCTTGGCTTCAAATTCAGATCCTCAGACCGCAGCCTCCTGTGCAGCTGGCATGAGCCACCACTACCCAGCCCAGCCTATAGATATCTTCAGCACATTCTGTAGGTAGCTTAAAGGTAAACCTGTTGGTCATTTTTATTTAGTTTTTTAAAGATTCAAAACTAGGTGCACTTTGTACTGAAGATTTGCTGCTCGTAAAATAGTAGACACACTGACCAGGTCTAACAGGAGGCCAACTCCTAACACTGGAGCACAGTTTCTCCTTTGCTAATGGTTACCTGCTTGCACATAAGTGATGGAGAGTAAAGCAAGCTACAAAGCACTGCCTGGAGACTGCGGAGAGCAAGGGCTATGCCTTCTGACTGCACAGCAGAGAACAGAACCAAGCAGCTTACAAACCCTTTAGTCCAGAAAATGCAACATGCCCTCCGCATACACACTGGGGGTTACTGTGTGCCCAACTCTCGGCATTGTCTCAGTTAATGCTCACCTCATTACTGCCTTCTTCCAGGTGAGGCTTAGAGAGGTTCAGTAACTTGGTCAAGACCTCATCGCTAAGACCAGAGCTGGGATTGAAATCTAGATCTCATTCTAGAGTGGTTGAACTGCCATGGATATTGTCTTTCAGGGATAAAATTCCCTGTTAATGGATGGTCAAAGAATGTCAGTCGTGGCTGAATCACAAGTTAAAAATCAATCACGTTAAAAATTAATCACATTAATTTTTTTCAATTATCAGTGTTTGGAATGAATAATTTCTTTTTGGAACTCAAATTTTACTGAGACAGATACAAAAAGAAAAGATCAAGGACATGTACAAGCACTCAAGCCTGTCATTGTGGGGTGGAAAACAGGGGACTGTGGTTTGAAGCCAGCCAGAGCAAAACAGGAGTTTGTAAGATTTCATCTCAACCAATGCCTCGGTGTGATGGCCTGTAACTGCTGTTCCCATACATATGCATGGCCTATAATATCAATGTCTATTTCACAGTCTGACACATACCTATTTGCAGCGTGGGAATGTTTGAAGGGATCAGAAGGGGAATAAAACATTAGAGGGTGAACAGCACTGAAATACTTCATGGGTGAATGAAGGTGGAAAAAAAGGAACCTTCTGAAAGCTGTTGAGTCCTATGGGGGAGGAAGGCTGGGGAGGGTGGGAGTAGATGAGGAGGACAGATACATCCTGATCAAAGTACAGTTTATGGTGACGCCCCTGTGAACAGTTAACCTGCATTTTCAAATATGAATGTTAAGAAGTTGAAGCATGTACTGTCTGGGGGGTGGGTACAAGTTGCGGGGTGGGGGATGGGTAGAGAGAAGGAGGGTGCTTTCTGTACAAGTATGAAAATGGAACAAGGAAGCTTGTTGAGGGTGGAGAGGGAGGTGGGAGGAAGATGAGGAGACTCGCACAAAACAAAACCTGAGCTCGCAGGAATTGCCAACATGTGTGGCAATTTTGCTGAGAAAGAAAACTAACTCCTCTCACAACCTCCTCTACTTCACGGTCCACTTTCAAACCAGATTATAGGATTAACAAGTCTTGATATTCAAAGCTGTCACTGATTTTGGGGGCCAGGTGTTTACTTTGGCTCCTTCCCTACCATGTAGAACAGTACTTGAACACAGGAGGTGCTGCTCTGTAAGCGAATCACACGTGCCAATTCTGTCCATTTTCTTTCAATGATTTAATTCTGTTAGGCCCAGATTTGCCAATGGTTTCTCATTTCTCCAATATTACCTTAGCAGGGTCCTGCTGTTGCTACCTGTGGCCACTGAGCTGAGATTACTGAGCCGGGAGGGAATCATGAGCTCATGCTCACTGATGAAAGTTCACTGGGCCTTTCTTGACTCTGCAGGACCCTCTCACGTCCCTTCCAAGAACAGACAGAGCGCATAGGCCTGTCCTCCTAGCACTAAGTAGGCTCTGCAAGAGAGTGGTAAGTTCAAGGCTAGCAGGGGAATGAATGAATGGACAAATGCATGAATGAATGAGGATCCTTCCTCTTTTTTCATTGTAAAGGTGATGTACAGTGGGCTTTCAGTTCCGAGTCGGGTAGTGAGTCCATTTCCTCTTAAATAGTGTCATCCCTCCCTCATACTCTCCCAGTTTTTCCCCTCCCAACTTTCCTCCCCCGAAAGTTGTGTAGTTCATTTCCAACCCAGTGCCGAGGGGGTTTCACTGCTGAGTGGGCTCGCCCTCTGTCCCACCGTTTTGTGCTTTCTGTGCTTGCTGTGTCGTCTTTGTCTGGGCCACACAGGCCTTTCCCTATTTCTCCCGTCTTCGGCTTTTCCAGCTTGTATGTAGCTCCATGCCTCTGCCAGTCCCCAGCCCTTCAGCTTCACCAGTCAAAGCTAATTAAGGGAGATGGTTACACAGGAGCACCTGTGATCTACCTTCTTAAAGATCCTCTGAGCTGGTTGCATAAAATGCAGAGGTTTGAACTTCTAAAAGACCACATATTAAGAGATTCTCAAACCATACTCTAGACTCTGGTCTGTAAGACTGCTTCTATAAAACAGCCCTCGCTCCGGCTTTCCACCTCACCATGGGCTCTTTCTCCCCCACACATTCTCCCAAGCACGCATTCAACTATGGTGGTGCTAGCTACCATTAAACCTTTACCAGGGCCAAGACCGTACTGTTTGGACTTTCGGCTTCCAATAAGTCTCTTCTTTAGGTGCTACTATGTGTTATAGAGACCGAAAATGGCAAACATTACAGGTAGTGATACAGAGAAAGAGGCATAGGTTTTAAAGCCAGAAAAACCTAGAATCAAGTATGATTGTGTCCTCCTCCTAGACTCACTCTCTTCCTCTAAATCTCATTCTCTGTCCATGATATTAGTGTTGTTCCTATACAGGTTGTTGTGAGAACTCAATGTGTTAAGACATCTGGGATTTAGCATACTAATGCATAGGCACTGGTAGGTACGTAATTATCTTCTCTTTCCTTCCTGCAGGGGATTGGTAAGTGCTTAATGGTCAGCTATCCAAAACAAAACCTATGTTTGCACATTTCCACGGCATAGATTCTCCCGGTGAGGCTGATTTCAGCCCATTAAACTGAACACAACGCTGGAAAGAGAAAAACACAGCATCCCTGCAGGCCAACCCAAGCTGCCCCTTTCTCTCACTCTTCACTTGTACCTCTTCCTTGTTTTCAGATCTCATTCAAACACTTCTGGTCAGCATGGAAGGTGCAGGCCTGCGATCCCAGAACTTGAGGGGTAAAGCGTTCATGGCCAGGGTGGTGTGCATCCCGTCTCAAAACAACAGCCCTGACATGGTGATATTCTTCCTGGAGGCATCCCAAGATGTGAGCAGCCTCCTCTGCTACTTGTTCTGCCACAAACACAAGCCAATCCCAATGGAACAAGAAAACCGTGGAATCGATCCCAACAAGTCCCCCCTTGCAGTAAACTGAAGCCATGTAACTCGTTCCCACTAGTGGAGTGTGCGCAGAAGAAATGACTTGGTCAATGTAAGGCCAACACGTGTGGGAACTGGGGTATGACCCTACAGAGGCTGGAGATGCAACACAGTGGAGACTTGCATCCTGAATTGTAA